GGGGTCGCACGGCTGCACCCACCACTGCTCCGTGGAGAGGTGGGAATGGGGGAAAAATGGGGTGGAAATGGGGCTGGGGGCGGCGGGAATGGGATAGGGGTGGAAATGGGACTGGGAGGGGCCAACTTTTGGGGTCCAACAGCGGGGTCTGACCCCTCTGGGAGTGTTTTGGGGGGCTCTGACCTCTCTGGGGGTTTTTTTGGGGGATCTGACCCCACTCTCCCCCCAGATACGAACCCGAGCGTGACGAGTGGGCTCTGGTGGCACCCATGGGGACGCGGCGGATCGGGGTGGGGGTGGCGGTGTCTCCCCTCTGTGGATGTTCTGGGGGTGTTTTGGGGTGTCTGCATTTTTTGGGGTTTTTTAGGGTTTTTGGGGTGTCTGACCCCACTCTCCCCCCAGATACGAACCCGAACGTGACGAGTGGGCTCTGGTGGCCCCGATGGGGACGCGGCGGATCGGGGTGGGGGTGGCACTGTCACCTCTTTTGGGACATTCCCATGGCTCTGGGGGTGTCTGTACTTTTTGGGGTTTTTTGGGGGGTCTGACCCCACTCTCCCCCCAGATACGAACCCGAACGTGACGAGTGGGCGCTGGCGGCCCCGATGGGGACGCGGCGGATCGGGGTGGGGGTGGCGGTGGCGGTGTCTCCCCTCTGTGGATGTTCTGGGTTTTTTTGGGGGTATTTGTAGGTTTTTAGGGTTTTTTTTGGGTTTTTTGGGGGGTCTGACCCCACTCTCCCCACCAGATACGAACCCGAACGTGACGAGTGGGCTCTGGTGGCACCCATGGGGTCACTGTGCATTGGGGTGGGGGTGGCACTGTCACCCCTCTGATGGTATTCCCGTGACTCTGGGGGGTTTTTTGGGGTGTCTGTAGTTTTTAGGGTTTTTTGGGGGGGTCTGACCCCGCTGTCCCCCCAGATACGAACCCGAGCGTGACGAGTGGGCGCTGGTGGCCCCCATGGGGACGCGGCGGATCGGGGTGGGGGTGGCAGTGTCACTCCTCTGTGGATGTTCTGGGGTTTTTTTGGGGTATTTGTAGGTTTTTAGGGTTTTTGGGGTTTTTTGGGGGGTCCTGATCCCACTCTCCCCCCAGATACGAACCCGAACGTGACGAGTGGGCTCTGGTGGCACCCATGGGGACGCGGCGGATCGGGGTGGGGGTTGCGGTGTCACCTCTTTTGGGATTCCCGTGGCTCTGGGGGGTGTTTTGGGGTATCTGTTGTTTTTAGGGTTTTTTGGGGGGTCTGACCCCACTCTCCCCCCAGATACGAACCCGAGCGTGACGAGTGGGCGCTGGTGGCACCGATGGGGACGCGGCGGATCGGGGTGGGGGTGGCGGTGCTGTGGTTCTGGAGGGATCCCCGTGGCTCTGGGGGTGTCTGTACTTTTTTGGGTTTTTTTGGGGTGTCTGTTGTTTTTGGGGTTTTTTGGGGGGTCTGACCCCACTGTCCCCCCAGATACGAACCCGAGCGTGACGAGTGGGCTCTGGTGGCACCGATGGGGACGCGGCGGATCGGGGTGGGGGTGGCGGTGTCACCTCTTTTGGGACATTCCCGTGGCTCTGGGGGGTTTTTTGGGGTGTCTGTAGTTTTAGGGTTTTTGGGGTTTTTTTGGGGTGTCTGACCCCACTCTCCCCCCAGATACGAACCCGAGCGTGACGAGTGGGCTCTGGTGGCACCGATGGGGACGCGGCGGATCGGGGTGGGGGTGGCGGTTCTCAACCGCCTCCTTTACGCCGTGGGAGGGTTCGATGGCAGCGCCCGCCTGAGCTCGGCCGAGCGGTACCACCCCGAGAGGGACCGGTGGCAACCGATCGCCCCCATGGCCACCGTGCGCAGCGGGGCAGGTTCGG